CCGATTCTTAGAATTTGGAATACTCTATGTAATCTTACACTGCAAAATAATAACTCAAAAAGATTAAAAGATAACATCATAATTATTTACTGAACCCTTAAATTAATAAATGATATAATGAAAGCCATAAAAACAGACAATTAATCGTGATAATCGTGATAATCGCCAAAGCCCTAAAACAGACAATTAATCGCAATAACCGTGATAATTTTTAGATAATTAATCGTCAGCCAAATTTCATAATCATGACAGCCCTAAGTGTAAATGTAATATATTTTATTCTATTTTATTTTTAATTGCCAAAGCAGCATATATGGCAAGATCAATGCATTTTAAAAGACACAAATAGTAGTAACGAAAAACTGACAACTTAAAAAAAAAAAAAAGAAAAAAAATGCTTTTTCTTGGTGATTTTTTTTTAAACATCCATTTGAGTCAAAACATTGCCTAGTGGCATTTAAAGCAGTACATTCCAACAAAATGATTACATTTTCTTTTTTATGTTTTCTTTTTGGTGCAGAGTGCTAATTTAATTAGAAAATGGTATTAGGCCTAAAAAGTTTTAAACTATTTAAAACTAGAAAAAAATAGAGATTCTGGGTGTTTGGACAACCTACACATACCTTAGAGCAGCAATTGTAGTTGGAAGAGTTTGCATTATGCTGCATTAATATTTCAGATACTGCAATCTGGCACTGTGCAACCTGTGGCATGAAACCGCAAGTCTCATTTAGCCTTTGCCAAGTAGCGTTATACAGTCTGACCACAGCAAGACGTCTGTAGTCTCGTCTGATGGTTTATGAGGTGAAATATTTGCATCTCTGCACCGTCTCTGGGCAACCAAACAATAATGACCCACTTATTGCTTAGCATAGGCTTCATGCACCATCAAAACAATTTAATAACGGCGCACAGGCGGCGCAGCAGAGAAATATCTTGCATCACATTGGTAAATATCCGGTTCAGGGCAAGATAAATGGCTGATGTCTTGGGGTGGTTGGGGGTGTTATGGATAGCCTCCTCTCAAATGCTTAAACGGTTCCAGTGACAACGGGGCACCAGATGTTTCCAGATGATGACTCAAGCCTTTTGTGGTTTATAGAGGGATCTGTCAGAAACTGGCACAAAAAGACCATGACAAATGCTTTCTTGCGCATGTTGAGTTAGGGAAAAATAAAATGTGAAGGAAAAGTAGGAAAAAAACTTCAGGTAAACATTGTAAGCTCCTTGGTAAAACCGGTCAGAACCATTGGTGTAAATGGTAAAGCCTGAAAATATCCTTTCGCTCGGCCATGAATTGGACTGACATGTGTAAAACAAAAAAGTGGGGCAAAAATACAGACAAAAACCTCCACAAGACACTTCAAAAGTTCACTTCTGAGTCTTGTGAAATCGTCTCCCTGCACACATGAATATGTACAAAGGGAATCAGTAGAAGATAGAAGAGGCAAAAGCAGCGAAGCAAAACCTCCACTGACTCCACAAACTCTGCAATTATTAAAGAGCTGCTGAGCCTTAGCTATGCTAAGAAAAAAATAAAGTAACTAAATCACAGATATTGATGAGGAAAGGAAAAACCCTTAGAATGACATGGCTTTAAAAAAATAAAAAATAAAAAAAACTTATCTGCAACAGACTGGAGGGCAGTTTAGATACACACAACTAAAACTGTCATCTATATAGTCATAGATACAGTCAACCAAAATTGTTTTGCTTATGACGAATACTAATTCAGATTCAGATTTTTGTGTTCAGTTAAATGGTAATAATGAAGAAATGATTTTTTATTACAGATTAATGGAAAATAAATATATAAATAAGCAAATAAACTGATAATACAAGAATAAGCATTACGATGCAATACATAATAATAATATACATTTTTTTAGATTCAACTAATTTCTGTATATTTGTAAAATAAAATAATACAAAATAAAATTACTATTACTGAAATAATAATAACATTAATAATAATAATAATAATAATATACGTTTTTTTAGATTCAACTAATTTCTGTATATTTGTAAAATAAAATAATACAAAATAAAATTATTACTGAAAAAATATTAACATTAATAATAATAATAATAATAATAATAATATACATTTTTTAGATTCAACTAATTTCTGTATATTTGTAAAATAAAATAATACAAAATAAAATTATTACTGAAAAAATATTAACATTAATAATAATAATAATAATAATAATAATAATAATAATAATAATAATAATAATAATAATAATAATAATAATAATAATAATAATAATAATAATAATAATAATAATAATAATAATAATAATATACATTTTTTTAGATTCATCTAATTTCTGTATATTTGTAAAATAAAATAATACAAAATAAAATTACTATTACTGAAAAAATATTAACATTAATAATAATAATAATAATAATATACATTTTTTTAGATTCATCTAATTTCTGTATATTTGTAAAATAAAATAATACAAAATAAAATTACTATTACTGAAATAATAATTTCATAAGTATCATTAAAATAGTACTATATTTTTAAAATTCCATTATATTTATGCAAAGTAATTTTGCAATTAAAATTTATCAAAATCCCAAATAAATAAAATAAAATAAATAAACACCTTTTACATACATACATATAGTTTACCTAAGCCTGTTCAATTGCCTCAAGAAAGACTATAAAAAGCAGTCATGCAATAAAATAGGCCTATATGTCATAAATAACTTCTTCAATTATCGGTATATCTCTAATGCAAACTTCAGATGAGTCTGCACTAGAGAGAATGGAAACAGATGGACACAATGAACCACACTGTGCTTGGGTTCTGTATCTAATGGCGTGTCTCTGATTGTTAGGACTCATAAAAAGGGAAGGGGTTTCTATTTTTATGCTTTTGATGAGGTTTTTCGATCCAGCAGTGGTACAGTGTCTCTGTCTGAAAGGTTATCTCACTCGGGTTCGAGTCCAGCTGGGATTTGTGGTCACTGCAACATAGCAGACTTTTACAACAGTGTGTGAATCTGACCTTCGATGATGCTGGCTTTTACAGGAATAAAAGAATCCCACAGCATAAAAGATGAGAGATCAAGACTGTTGATACAGTGAAGTGACTCTCCTCCTCCGTTCTGCTCCAGGCTCGGATTTCTCCGTCAAGCAATCTGATCATAACTTGTAAAACAACGCAATGTGGTAATGAGGATTCAGGAATGACCCGATAAACCAAAAACGCTGGACTACTAAAATACTGAGGATAAACATTGATTATTTGGGGAGATATGATTAATCTTTGAGTTGCCAAAGAGATTGAACCGCTTTGGGAAAACCTTTGAAACAGATGATAATATAAGCGTGATTCACAGATAGCCTTTACTTACACAGCTAAACACCTTTTAGCTTCTCAAAGATAACCAGATGATAGCGGAGGTCAAATGAAGCCGCATGAATAAACTTCCAATGGCTACAATTATTCTGCTAAAACAAGAGGCTTTCGTGCATCAGAAATGGGTTGCTTAGTGAATATTAATAACTGTTTCCAATGGGATTTTTGTGGACTCTTTCATTGTTGGAATTGCTTGAGGGTAGAAAGAAAAGCCTTTCAATTAAAAGTTGTTTAACACTCTTCATTAAAGGATTGGAGCCAGATACAGTCTTCTCTCTTGCCTTAAATTGAGGCGCTAGGATGTACTGAAGGACTTCCGATACTTAACGGAAAACCCCTGCAGAGTATCTAATGAAATGACCTCACCATACAGATGCAGAGATCCGATCGAACATCAAACAAAGCCTTATTTTTGTCTGGTTTATTCTGCATATGTTGCGTCTTAATTCGTTCATCAACTTCGTTTAGTCATTTCTGGAGTGATCTGCATGCAGTATTGATTGTCTTTTGCTATTCACTTTCTTCATGATTAATCAGATTTCTGCCTTCATTTGCTGCTCTCAGTCCTTCTATTTCTCTGCTGGGTGCAGTTCTGAAGATGAAACAGTTCAGCACTTCTCATATTACTGAAGAGGTATTGACGTTTATAAAAGCCAGATAATTACACCTCTAAAATCGAGTTGGATGAGTCGCATAAAAAGCAGAAAAACACACTTTTAGAATTATATGTGAATTCTCCTTATAAATTATATTACTAATATAAATATACTACTGTTGAAAATTTGTGGTTTAAGATATTTTTAATGCTTTTTGTAAGTCTCTGCTCAACAAGGCTGCATTTTTTAAATCAAAAATACAGTATAAACAGCAGTATTGTGAAATATTATCACAAACTAAAAATAACTTTTTCTATTTTAATAGAACATTTTTAAATTTGCTGCTCAAATAACATTTCTCATCAATGTTGAAAACTGTTGCGTTGCTTAATATTTTTGTGGGAATTATATATATATATATATATATATATACACACTTTTATAATAAGTGATTCCTCATAATATGACTCATTCAAGTCATTACTGGAAAAAAAAAACATCTGGACTGAACTGTAATTCATGGAGTTAACAATTATTATTATTATTATTATTATTATTATTATTATTATTATTTCTTCAATAATAGCATTACAATAGTATTACTAATTAATAATAGTATTACTTCAATAATAGTATAACAAATTTACAAAAAATTAGTTGCATTTAAAACAATTTGTTTGCTATTTCTATTATTACTATTACCTATTATTACTATTATTATTACTACTACTACTACAATTTATTCAATAATAGAATTTTTATTTTGTATTATTTTATTTTACAAAAATTTGTTGAATTTAAAATAATTTAATTGCTATTTCTATTATTATTTCTTTCAATAATAATATGTTATTTTGTATTATTTTATTACATTTACAAAAAAAGTTACATTTTGCACAAGATCATTCAAACAAATCACCAAAACAAGCAGGGACTTGAAAACACTGCTGTTTGTTTCTAACAGATTTTTTAAATCTGAAAGCTACACGGAAAATGATTCCTCATGATATGACTAATTTAAGTCAAGTTAACATCTGGACTGAATTGTAATTTATGGAGTTAACAAACAAAGTTGAGGGACTGGGAGTCTGGAATCAAAATTTAGTGCTGAAAAATGGCAGAAAGCATGAGACAAGATAGTTTATGAAGCCTTGAGATGTTTTTTGGTGGCTCAGATGTGGAAAGTCTCGTCAAATATTAGCACCAGACTTGTGCTAATATGGCAGATTTACAAGCGGTGATGCTAAAAGCTCCCAAAAAGTGCGAAGGTTGATTTATTACGTCAACACTGAAGACGTCATAGACAAGTTCTCAAAGCTTCATCAAAAAAAGTAATTCTGTTCTATCATTCAGGGTCAAATTTATAGCAAATAAATATTTGTAAGGATAAAAATCAACCGGCTCAACAAAAATGAGTATAAAAGGTTTGAGTCTTACCATGTTAAAGTCTAGGTTCATTTCCACCCACTCGGTAGCAGCCTCAAACTCGTCATACATCTCCATAATGTAGAGCGTGTCCAGCGCATCCACAATGGTGGCTCCTTTGAGACTACCTGTGGATAAATATGACAACAAACCATTTGAGAAGGCTTCCTGTGGGGTTACCTCTAGGATCAGAGCTGAAATAAACCAATAGCTTTATGATAAAGACCTCAGAGCCTTTGAGATATGGACCCTAATGCCCTGCCTAAGGGAAAATCCTGTGTAGAGAGCAAACAAACCATGGCTACAACAAATAAAAACCTTGCGAGATTAACACCCTCAAAGAGAAGCCAAGGTTAAGGCGAACAGATCTTACACAGGCCATGTCAGATTACTTCAGTATTTTAGCAGATAACGTGAAAACAACAAAGTGGATAAAAGAAAGGAAGACGCTCAATAACTCTCTGGTGTTGTCAAAGACCGTGAAGAAAATACATTGACTCTGGGCTCTTTAGTTCTATATGAATCAGTTATATACTGAATCAGCTTACTGTGAACAAAAATTCAGATTCACTAAACATTGGGACAATGATAACTCAAATATGAAACATGTTTGTGCAATAAAATGTAGCTCGTTAATATAACATGTAATAATAATAATAATATTATTATTATTAAATAAAACTATTAATATTATTGAAATACAATTATTATTGTTATTATTTCTTCAAAATTTATTTTTATTTTGCATTATTTTATTTTACAAATGTACAGTTATTATTTTTATTGTTATTATTATTATTATTTCTTCAATAATAGTATTTTTATTTTGTATTATTTTGTTAATTTACAAAAAAGTTTGAATTTAAAACAATTTGATTGCTATTTCTATTATTTTATTTATTTATTTTTTTTCTTCAATAATAGTATTTTTAATTTGTTTTGTTGTTACAAATTTACAAAAATTTGTTGAATTTAAAACCATTTGATTGCTATTCCTATTATTATTATTATTATTATCATTATTACTTCAAAAATAGCATTTTCATTTTGTATTATTTTATTTGACAAATTTACAAAAATTGTTAAAATAAAAACAATTTGATTGCTATTATTATTATTATTATTATTATTATTATATTTCACTATTTAATTAAAATATTTTAATAATTCGTTTTAAATAACTAATAATTAATAATTATATATATTAAATATATTTTATTAATAAGTACAATATAGAAAGAGAGACAGCAAGAACTGATCCGTTTTTATTTCTTTTGTTTTTAATTGAAAACTGCTAATTTGATTTTGTCCCCAAAATGCAAAGAAAGACAATCATATCTACCTATCTGTCCTACTTCAGGTCAATTCACACAACCATTTTAGGCATCATTACCCAGCAAGATTCTCCAACAACATGATAAAAAGAAAAATTAACTCAACCAATTAAGGTGCTGATATTATGAAACAAAATTGGTAAAGAAAACAATAGCATATGGTAACTGGCATAACTCTTCAACAACACGAAAGATGCTCGCTAGCATTTTTTGCATTTGTACTGATTATGAACGCAGCAGGTTGGGCGACATGCATGGCACTGCATGCAACACTCTTCAAGAAATGCAATGCTGCCAACCAGCTGTGCTCCTCATTTAACAGTCCTGGCTTTGTTTAGTGATGTTGAAGACACAACATGACAGAATTACTGTGTGCAATATTTGTACGGAACATCTCAAACACCTCCAGCAGAGCATTCACACGCCTTTCGCTTAGCGAGAGCCAATGAAATGATGGAAAATCCCCAAGAGAGTAAGTTACTCTCGTCAGATGGTGAGAAGTTTTTGAACAGGAAAAACATGAATGTCTGATATATTTGCTTTCGGATATCTGGCTTTTAAAAAATATGTATCTCACTTCCAAGAATCTGTCAGAAGAAAAACATGTGGGAGATGCAAGCATGCCATGCCCCTTCATTTCCACAAGTGATAGAGGACCACAACGAGGTGTCAAGAGAAACAGGAAAAGAAAACAGGATGTGCAAATCAAACAAAACATCATAAAAATGTGCAAAGGACCTTCCCTCTTGCAGCTATGCTGCTTTTTAGGCAGAACAGTCTCCATGCTGCAAAATCGCCCCGTCATAAAAGTTTTATGTTCTGACGTGGCCTTTTCTCACAAATGCAACTAATCTGTGTGTGTGTGTGAGAATCTGAAAGCCACTAGGCAAACATCCTGCTACATATTGAAAAGCATATTTAACACCTGTTTGATTAATGGTAAAGTCCCTAGTTCATGGAAAGGAGCACTCATTCATAGAATACCGAAGAAAGAAAATGTACCAGAAGACCCCTCAACATAGAGGGACATCTCACTATTGCCATCTGTATGCATCCTTATTGCTGGATTTTAAAAGACGGAAGGTGCCACACGCATGTGGTGGGGAAGACAGCTTCCTGGGTTTTAAAAGAAAGACCAATGGAAAGCTGGATGGACGGGCACAGGGATTTGGTGTGTCATCAGACTGGCCAGACTTAAACGACCTATGCTGGAGGACAGGTACTGAACTGAAGTGGACCTCCCACTACCAACCTGTAGAGGTCTCTGATGCAGTCGTAGAGGACCCATCTGTCATCGTGGAAGCCAGGCTGCACCATAACAACATTGTTCACCTGCTCCAGCCTAGAACATCAAGGCAGACTCTCTTGTCTATTCAAAGAGCCCAAAATATGGAGTACTGGTCCAATCTAAAACTCCAGGGAAAGTTGGCAAAACTGCCCTGCGCGGACCACTCTGTATCACACACCATTTACAGCAATGCCACCATCAGTGAGGAGATCCTCACTTTCTGTGTAAAAGCACGTCTACAGGTTCTTCCTACAAAATACAACCTATCACTGTGGTTTCCCTCCACCCATTCACCCCTCTGCCTGCTGCATGACCCTCCTCAACACCTGGAGTCAGTAGCCCACATCATGAACAGTTGTTCATCATTTAAAGGACTATATACTGCCAGACATGACAGACTTGTGGACCTCACTGCTGCTCAGATTCTCTGTGTGGCTGATGAGCAGATCTTTAAACACTACTGTACGGTCTGAATGGTTCAACTCACCTGCAAACACTTTTCTAGGAATTGTTAATACACCAGATATCGTTGACATCTCTCAGAATGGCAAAACAGTTACACTATTTGAGGTGTCATGTGCATTTGACTTGTTTATGGAGGACTCTTACTGCTCTAAGACTTTAAAATATCAGTCACTGATATCTACCATTGATAAACTTGGGTACAAATGCCAGCTTATTGTGCTGGTGTTTGGTAGTCTAGGTGAGTGCTCAGGACCTCAGACTGGGCCGAAGGTTTACCTTCCAACAAGACAATGACCCTAAGCACACAGCTAAAATAACGAAGGAGTGGCTTCACAACAACTCTGTGACTGTTCTTGAATGGCCCAGCCTGAGCCCTGACTTAAACCCAATTGAGCATCTCTGGATAGACCTAAAAATGGCTGTCCACCAATGTTTACCATCCAACCTGACAGAACTGGAGTGGATCTGCAAGAGGGAATGGCAGAGGATCCCCAAATCCAGTTGTGAAAAACTTGTTGCATCTTTCCCAAAAAGACTCGTGGCTGTATTAGATCAAAAGGGTGCTTCTACTAAATACTGAGCAAAGGGTCTGAATACTTAGGACCATGTGATATTTCAGTTTTTCTTTTTTAATAAATCTGCAAAAATGTCAACAATTCTGTGTTTTTCTGTCAATATGGGGTGCTGTGTGTACATTAATGAGGAAAAAAAATTAACAAATGATTTTAGCAAATGGCTGCAATATAACAGAGTGAAAAATGTAAGGGGGTCTGAATACTTTCCGTACCCACTGTATATATATACACACACATACATACATACATACATACACACACAATTAGTGTCTATACATACATAATACATACATATTTAAAAAAGAATACAATTACATAAATACAAAAATTACATACAATTTATTATATTTCACATTTTTCTATTTGTTCTATTTTTTATTTTGTGCATGCTGTTGATATGTACTGCATTTTATTTACCTTTATATACCCGTGTATATAAACAAAGAAATATACAAGAATAAATGAATATATATACACAAACAATTACAGAGTGTATACATACATCACACATGCATACATATTTCACTGTATTACAATGCTCAGTAACATTTATTCCTGATAAATAAGAAAGTTGTGCTACCGGTACATTTCTTCGAATCAGCATGGCTATGACCACATTCATGTAACCACAGTCTTTGCAGCTCACATTCTGCTGAAGCCCAAATGTTTCATATACCTTAAACACAACACTCAATACACAGAAAGTAGATGCAAACAGTAAGCAAATAAAGGTGTTCTACACGGAGACGATGCAAATCAAAATCATCTTTAAGGCAGAAACTGCACTGCAGGTGAAAGGACAGCATATTTGTGCACTGCTGTGTCTTTTCACAGGCCCTTGAGGACTCAAACCCCAGTGAGGAAGTGTGGGAAGGTCATAAATCACTTCACTACAAAGCTTTCTAACACAGCCCTCGGTTAGACATTCACGTCTCAAATAGGGCTGTCACGATTATGGAATTTGGCTGACGATTAATTGTCTAAAAATAGTCACGTTTATTGCGATTAATTGTCTGTTTTAGGGCTTTGCCGATTATGACTGTTATGCCGATTATCACGATTAATTGTCTGTTTTTATGGCTTTCATTATATAATTGTGCTTAATTTAAGGGTTCAGTAAATAATTATGATGATATCTTTTAATCTTTTTGAGTTATTTTGCAGTGTAAGATTACATAGAGTATTTCAAATTCTAAGAATTTTTGTGTGCGGTCGCACAGGCGCAACCACCGCGTTGGTCAACTCATAAGCGCTGCAATTTCTGTTGCATATGAGAAACCTCAAACGGCAAACGAAACTGAAAGCATAACGAAACAGAGCTTTAGAGAGTATACTCGCTGCGTCAGCACGAGTGCGAAGGTGGGCGCAGCAAAAATGACGCGCATATTGAGGAAACGATGGATGGTTTTCAAGCGAAAGTCAAGTAAAAGACCGCTTCTTAAACCAGAGAAGGTGAACATGCTGGT